GCGAAATGCCAGGCCTCTGAAAGTCCCCATCGTTGGTATTCGCCATGTTATTGGAATTTTTATTTCAAATTTCGCGAAAATGGTTTATAACATTTCCTGCAAGTTCGTCGTTCAAATCTGGTGCCGAATCAATGTTTTAGAGCCTCCCATCAGAGCCATTAATAATGATAATATTAATAATTTGCCGCAAATATAGTAATAATATCTAATAATATTAATAATTTAAAAGAATACTTATACCTACTCCCAGAGCTACTCATAGGAGCTAAAAACTAATTTATTTTAGTTCTCAAATATGCATATTCTTTATGTTGATTTATTAATTAAATTTTTGCTACAAGGTATTTTACAACATTTGTTTATTTATTTATTTTTTTCTTTAATTTTATAATTGAGGGCCATTTTTTATTTCTTGATTCAATATTTGCTTATACAGTATTTAAATATTTGAAGATTAAAAAAATATATATCATTTCTATTACCGAATTTTTCATTGGGGCCATTTTTACCTACCTGTCATATGGGGCCATTTTTACCGGGGCCATTTTTTCTGGGGCCACTTTTTCCGGGGCCATTGTTTCTGGGGCCATTTTTTCCGGGGCCATTCTTACCTACATTCCTCTATATAGTCCTATGCTATTTCCGTACTTGGGTTCGAGTTCAGATAGCAAGAATAGTCCAATTAATTCGCATGTCTCTGCTCCATCGTAGCTACCCATTGTAACGTCGAACATGGACTGGGTGTTACGTTTGCACCAAACTGAACTATGGTTGAATAGAAGTGTAGACTTAGTTTTAAAGATTATATCTTTTTCTTCCTGGGTTATCTGTATGAATCTCTCAGCGAAGTTGAGGGCTTTGGCTAATAGGTTTTCCGATATTGATGGATAGAATTCAGTAACATCAAAACATATAAAAGAGTACTTCTTCTTATCAGAGATGTTTTTGAACCATTCGATAATCTCGCTAGTATTTCTCCATTGATTTAATTAAGTTGCTTTTGCGAATATGTTCTTGTTAATCTTTTCTAAGATGTGTTTGCTTATCTTTCCTATTTCGGATTTGGAGGGATTGATTAATCTGCATGTCGGATTATTTGCGAAATTGTCTTTGTGGTCTTTTAAAGTTATAAATGCATCTCGTTT